AAAAGAAAAGAAGTTTTATAGAAGGCGGCAACAACAACAGTTATACTAACATTCCTCATAACTTTTGGCTGATAACTATGAGTGTCTGAAGCTGCATGGCTTATGCTTCTACTTTGATTTATTTATTTTTTTTTTGTTTGTTGACACAGAAGAAAAGTTAGAGTGAAGATGGGCAATGATGTTGGTAATGTTGCAGTATAAAAATTTTGGAAAAAAAAGTGAATTAAATATATTAATGAAAACTGGTTATTATTTTCAATCAAAGTAACTGTTATGCACAGTAAGAAAGTATCAATAACGGTGAATTTATTCTTTATAATTCTTAATGTAATTAATTCCTCAACAGTGAATGTATCATGACTTATCATGTACTTCAACAATCATAACAACAATTAGAGCTTTATTTTCATTTTAGACTCATTTGCCATCAGGTTATAGTCCAGTTGCTAGGCTAATTATAAATACTATAATTTTTCATATTCCTATGTTACTGTCAGCTGTTAATATGCTCAAAGTTGCATTTGATAATTTTTATTGCTCAAACAAACCAATGCAATTACAGCGAACCGTTTGGGGCACAGTTGTTAAAGGTTACAGTTGAAATGTATTTATGATGCACGGCAACACTGCCAGTGCTAAAATCATCCTCGTCATCGTCGTTGTTGTCGTCGTCTTCTTCTTCTTCGCCTTCTTCGCCGGTTTCGTAGTCATTGTTCTTGTCTCATTGTAGCCATTCTTTAGTGTTATTACTGCTGTATTTTGTTTTTCCGTTTTGCTTTACTTTATCACAAATTTTTTTATCGTTTATTTTCTACATGTATCAAGACGACAGTCAAAAAAAAAAAATCATTTTTTGTTTTATTTTACTTCTCGATTGATTAGTTGTTTATTTGGCGAAAAGTAAAGGTTGAGGGGGTGAGAAAGAAAGAAGGAGGAAATGAAAAAAAGGAGACAGACACCGGCAAACAATTACCAAATTCGAAACTATTAATATTAAACTATTTAATCTCTGCTGACGGCGTAATGATGCTACTTTTTTTGTTCGGAATCGAACAAAGCAAAAATTAAAGAAAAAAGAAAAAGAAAAGATTCTATACGAGCAGTATAATAAAATGAAAAAAATGAGGTGCAGAAGTTTTGTTTTTGTACTGTCGAGAATTGAAAGTTTTGCAGAAAGAGAATGCAACAAATATGTTTGTATGATTTACTCTCATATTTTATTTTATTTCATTTTTTTTTTTTTTTAATTTATATATTTACTTTGCCTTGCATCTTTTCGTCTTTAGCAGCCATCTTTTTCGTTGAAACCCCCATCTTCTTTCTATTTTTTTTCTAAATCTGTTTGCCGATTTTTAGTCATTTAGGTGGGAAAACGAGGGAGAGGGTGAAGACAAGGGAGTTTGTACTAATAGAGCAATGAAAACTGTCAACGTGAAAACAGTTTCTTTTCAATGATCAGCAATCATTATTGCATTAACAAGAAGCTGCTTGTTGAAATCAAAACACAGTCTTTCAATTGATAGTTGCCAAACAGTTTTTTTTTTTTGAACAACTTTTTTCTTGACCACCATTAATTGTTAGAAAGAAAAAACGCCTTTTTGTAAGAAAAGTCTCATAATGAACGGGAACTGTTGGCGAATAGTGTAAAGTTTAATCTTCAGAATTGACCATGTGACTTTTGGTTAGCATAGGAGAAAAACTGCTGTTTTGTTCAGAAGGAAAAA